TATAAAATAGAAATGACATAAGAATAATGTATAAAGGTGCACCTGGGTGGCTCAGTCAGTTAAGAGTCTGCCTTTGGCTCAGGTCATAATCTCAGGGTCCTGGGAATGAACCCCGTTTTGGGCTCCCTGCTCACTGGGAGGCCTGCTTCTCCCTCTCCTACTCCCCTTGCTTGTGTTCCCTCTCTCACTGTCTCTCTGTCAAATAAATAAATAAAATCTTAAAAAAAAAAATAGAAGAAGAATGTAAAAATGCAGCTACTGGGAAACAAATAAATTGAATGCAAACACTTTTTCTTATTTTAATCAGAAAAGGCATAAAAGAATTTTAGAAGAATCATGAGTTCCTTTGTAAATCTAGGCTCCATAAAATTCTCTTCCGTGTATTGATGTGTGGAAAAGAATGGAGAAATCCTTACTTTATGTAGGTTTTAAAAATTATATATACAAACATACAAACAATTAGGATAATGTTACAACTTAAAAATTAAAGTTTTGCCAAGATGGATATCAAGTTATGGTTATTAACTTTTTAAAATTTGTCCTTAATCAGAAAGAATTAGGACATGAAAGTCCTCAAAGAAAAAAAAGTTAAAGGGCCTATACTCCTCTTAATATTTTTCTTACAACTTTCAGTCAGTTTATATAATTCCATATCAAAAGAAAAATATAATGGAGATCCCCAAATTCCTGTTGAGAGTGACCTACAAATTTAACTGTATAAATCCGAGAGTGTACCCTGGTATGCATATATTAAAAAGGTAACACAGTTTAAGGGTATAGCTACTCTTGAAAAAGAACCTCATTTTTAAAAGGTTAATTGGATTGCTGATTCAAAGATTATACCAAATGAATACTGGTCTAATTGCCTTTTTGTTTTTGCTGCTAAATACTACTGAAGACCATATCCTTGTTTTCTATAACCCTAAGTTCTAACAAAACAGATAATATCCGTAGAGCAATTTATAGGTTACAGAGCACGATAATTCATGTCATCTCATTTGATCCTTACAACCAAAGTCCAGTGAGGTAGGTTTTGGGACCAAAAGTTACCTTATTCTCATTTTATACTGAAGAAACGGGAGACTAAATGACCTATCCTGCTCACATCATAATTATGGGTCTTCGAATTCTAAGCCTAATAGAATTTTCACTGCACAAGGCTATGTAAGTCATCCAAGTGATAATATGCAAATATACCTTTGGCATGTCAAAAGCAGTATAAATATCATTATAATGACATTTTGGCATGTTATTGTTTTCTAAGCTCTGGCCAATGATCCACTAATAAAATTTTTTAAGTAGTTCCTTTTAAATCACAGGGATAGAGCCTCAACCAAGATAGTTACAACTTGTTATATCCAGCTCTTATCACAAAGAAACTAATGAGGTAGGCTAAAATGTAGTAAATTTTTCTAATTTAAAGAGATTCTTAGAATTTTCATATATCTGCTCTAAGAAGCAGAAAATCATTACTAATAAAGGTTTGCTTGAATATTCATTTACCAACTAGTATACAAAGATCTAACTTCACATAAAACCAACAAGAGCTTAAATACTTCTAAGAATTGCTATTCACCTTTTAAAATTAATAAAGTATTGGTACAAGTTTGTGTATATATTTCTCGTGCAAGTTATGTTAACTGTTTATTTATTTATTTATTTATTATTTATTTGCCACATGTTATTTTTGTAAAGCAGAAACTTCATTTCACTCAATTTAAGTTTAGATCCTCCAAATTCCTTTGAGGTGAGATTCTCACTACTAAGGCTTAAAGTGAGTTTTATGACATGAGTTGTTCATTCATAAATATTAATTGAAAAACCTACTATGTACTAAGCCCTTTGCTAGTTGTTATTAATCAGTTATTCTTTGAAACCAATTACTGTTTTGAGCTTAATATTATCTTTTGCTTTAATTACTGAATAAATTAAACAGTATTGGTGAAATTGAAGTACTTTTTGAAAGCCTCTTGATTATATATTAACATTTTCAAGAGAACTATTTTCTCAGTTGTCAGCTATCCAAATAAAATGCTAAACATTATCACATGCCAATCAAAACACAAATTAAAGTTAAACATATGGTAAGAAAGCTGTCTCAACTTGTTCAACTTGGATTAAGGGAACTGAGACTTTGAAATTGCTGGTTTGCCATAGTTCTTTAACAGTTTCTTAAAAAAGAATTCTTAATTTAAAGCACCAGTTTGATAAACAACATGACCCAAACTAAATATAGTTATCTAAAACAATGCATTGATGATATTAAGTAAATTCTGTGGAACAAAATTAAGATACTGAAAGTAATTGAAAGGTCAACATAGCATTTACATATATGCCAACAGTGAGTTTAACAAAGAAGATAAAATGAATATATAAAAAACAAAGGAGCACAAAGTTAAGATTTTCACAGGGATGTGCACTTAACCGTCTACACTTGGCCTACTTGTACAAGAAAATCAGTTAACATTTTGGCAATTGATAATATAATGCAGATGGCGGTGGATGACAACATCTTTGAGCTCAAACTGGTACCTTCTATTTTAACTTCTTATTTTTGTTTCTCAATGTTTGTTTTGGTCCTCTCATGCTGTTCTCAGGAGAGATTCTCAGGAAAAAAGCCTTATGAATTACTGAGTTATTGTATAAATGAGTTGTTGTAAGTCTGGCCTTCAGAGGAAAGGCTTACTAATTGTCAGTTATGAGGGAATTCAGATTCTGCCTATCCAGCACTAACTCCAGTTCCAAGGAGAAAGACAATGAAGATAGAGGAAAAAGAAAAATGCTTTGGGGCTAACTGTTCAAATATGTTCTATAAAGAGTTAATCATAAATAATAAAATATATGTACTTTGAAAAAACATGATGTACAAATTATTGTCAGAAAACCGATTTCTGTACTTGATGAAAGCCTTAAACACATGTCAAGGAATATACTACAGTAGCCCTCAAACAAATCTCCTAAATCCTTAATAATCTTAATCCCTTATATTCCACAATGTTTTACAGTTTTCAAAGAGTTTTCATATGATTTTTCACGTGATTCCCATTTGACAACTTTGTGAGGTAGGTACTTATCTTCTATCTTCATTTATAAACAAAGGAACTGAGGCCCAGAGAAGTTTACTTGTTAAAGATGACAAAATTGGCATATAGCAAAGCCAGACCTCTTTAGAGTCTTGGAATATTTTCCGAAGTGTGATTCTTGGATTATCTGCATTAAGAATCACCTGTAGTATTTTCAGAAATACAGACTTTAAAAGCCCTACCACCTTTGATTTAGTTAGTAAGAAAGAATCTTTAGGAGTGTCCCAAATTCCACATTTATAACGAACAATAAAGTGAAGAACAAATGTATATCAGGTGAGGATAGAAAAGTACAACATTGAGTCCAGCTAGGTATTTATGTGATATAATATGATGCCATCAGCTCATTTTCAGGAGGCAAGTTAGATCAAAACAGTCTGCAGATTAGAATCACCTAGAAAGCTTAAAAAAATGTGTATATATATATATATATGTGTGTGTGTGTGTGTGTGTGTGTGCATATATATATATATACATATATATATATAAATTCTCCTCTGAATGAGAGGAGGGTGTTGAGCATCAGAGGTTCCACAAGTGATTCTTATCTATAGTCAGGGCTGAGGACTACTTGTTTAAATACGCTTTACTATAAAACACATCCAGCATTTTCCACAATTTTTCTTTCCCTTCTGATCAATTTCATGCCTAATAAAGTTTGCAGTTTTTATTGTAAATTATTTAAACAGTACACGACAAAATGTCAAACATTTTTGAATTGATATTGGTAAGACTAAAAGATTATACTTCACAGCAAGACTACTCATGCTTCATTTAGTTACAATGATTTTCAAATACCTCAATCACCACTTTGGACTTAGGTTATATATATTTAAAAAAAAAATGATCCAGAATCTTGAAACAGGAATGTGGGGCAAAAGCTGTAGCCTAGTGGCTACCGTACAATGCAAATGCAGACAATCAGGTCACTGATAGGACGGGCCTGGGTACCAAGATCTGGTGGCTTTGGCAAGATCACATCTCACTGTAGAAAAATACAACAATGAATATAGAGAAAATGTTTTGCCATTTTGTAACTGTGGTTCCCACAAAAGAGTTTATAATGTGTGATGCTTGTTACATGCCTCCATGGAACAGATCTGAACATGAAGTTCTGTGTGAATCAATACTACTATATGGGTAAAGGTGGCTACAAATTAAACTTCTTTCACCATGCATATGGTTAAGTTATAAAAACACAGCCAGTAAAAGTAATATTTACAAAAGTAATAAGACAGCACAATTATAGAGAAAAAAATGTCCATCTCTGCCTTTTATTCCATTGTTAATCTTAATCGTGTATGTTTCTGGATGAAGATTATTTCGATAGAATTTTTAAAGAGCCTTCAGTAGACTATTCGGATTCCTCTTCTGACCTTATATCCTATTAGCTAAAATACCCTTGCTGATTTATCAAATTCTCCTACAGTTTAAAAACATAGTTCTTTTTCACTTAGTGGAAAGAAAACTACAAAGTCCAACTATTCTTCTGAGAAATAAACCTTGCATAGAAAATTTTCTTAATTCTGAAATTTTTGTTTTATTAATACAACTACCAGAATGTTATCTCACAACTAGTTGATATCATATGAAAGTTCACTACAAAGCAGTCACCACACATTTAGGGTTTTTCTAAATATAAAATAAATGGGTTTATAAAAATGCTTACCAGACAAATAATTATCTCTTCAATAACCTAGAAATAAGAATTATTTATGTGATGATATAATTATTAGCATTTTTGATGCCTTGATGTTCCAAGTTTGATGCAATATAAAAGGCGAAATTTACTTTCCAATGGACACAATCTGCATCCGACTGAAAGCATGATAACAGTGAGTTACAGCAATCAGTCATGCAAAGGCAAAGAATAAAATCTGCTTTTTAGATAGCACAAGTTTTCCACCTTCGGACAATTTAAGCACTGGTTCCATCTTCTTCAATGACCCGATTCATGCTGGTACCATGTGTGATGTGAGTCATAGGATTGTTACTGAGGTCTCTGATACTGCTATGTCGTGACTGTTCGTTGAGCCGATGAGAACTACTGTGCCTGGAGTGATCCGTCAGTCGTGACATGCTGCCATGAGGTAGTCTCTCTTCCATTCCTCTATAACTGCACGGAGTGTACCTAACATACAAGAGTTTATTTTGAAGTAGGTAACAGAACACACTAGAAAACTAAGAATTGTCATGAAAATGCCTCATTATGTAAAATGATTAGGAAACCTGTAAGTGAAAAAGTAACAACCAACTTTTGATGGTCTATAGTAATTTCAAAGAGTAGAGGTATTCACATCGTTGACCAGAAAGGGGGATGGCCATCCCATTAAATTCAGAATGAAGGTCTTATTCCTTGCAAAGGGACAGAAGCTAAGGTTAAATAGAGCTGATATGCTAAGTATGGACACTTTCCTCATTCCAGTGAATTTTCGGTTACGAGATGGGTTCTGGCAGAGGAGGAACAATAATAGAAGAAATACGGCATTGTCTCAGGGAGTCTAGAAGGCTGGCTGGTTATAATTAGTAGTACAACAAACTCAAATTTACTGAAAGACGAGGGTTGAAAGAGGGAGCACGTGAAATTAGAGGAGAAATTAATGTAACAAAAAAAAAAAGTGAACAAATTGTCAAGCAATGATGACACCATGTGCCGACAGCTTCTTTCTAGATAGCCCCAGTTAACAGCTGAACAACCACCTGTAAATGTCTTATTTTCCATTAGGGCTTGAGGCTGTGAAGATGCTATTTCATAAAAGCTACATCTACTTAAATATTCTAGTAACATCCTCATAACATTTGTAACCTATATTCCAGATAAAGCAAATTCTCTCCTTACCCCTAGCCAAGACCCAGCTTTTGTGAACTGGGCTACACTGCGTATTGCAGGCAGGCAGTCTTCTCCCCATGACTGTGCTTATCTTGAAAGACAAGAGTGGGAGCGTCAGAGTTAAGAAAACATACACTTACACCTCTTTTGTAAAAAAGTAATTTAGGACAACAAAGCTCAAAGAAAATGAAACTGAATATAATTTATAACTTTAATTGATATATACTAAATTTTACTTTAGTGTTGCTAAAATTAAAAAGGATATAGCAGGCCATTCCTTTTTAAATAGTCATCAGGGATGCCTGTGCGGCTCAGCTGGTTGAGCGTCTGACTCTTGGTTTCAGCTCAGATTGTGATCTCAGGGTCGTGAGATCAGCCCTGCGTGGGGCTTCTGCTTAAGATTCTCTCTCTCTCTCCCTCTGCCTATCCCCTGCTCACATGTGCACTTGTTCTCTTTCTAAAAAAAAAATAAATTTTTAAAAATGGTCATCAAAAGAATGAATCATAAGCAGCTAAAGACCTATTGGTTGTCAAAATCATTCATTTATCATTTTTTCATAAGAATTACAAATTTCATGACTCAATATGAATCATTTATAAAATTTAAAGATTTTAAAGACTGATTCATATACTACTTAGGTGATCTAGTTTTATAAAAGTGCTTGTCAAATGTTTTCATCAGATCACAGAATCTAAAAATTGAGAAGCCCTGGGGCACCTGGGTGGCTCAGTGCATTAAGTGTCTGCCTTCAGCTCAGGTCATGATCCCAGGGTTCTGGAATCTGGCCCAGCTACAGGCTCCCTGCTCAGTGGGGAGCCTGCTTCTCCTTCTCCCTCTGCCCTTCCTCCCAGCTCATGATCTCTCTTTCTCTGCCAAATAAATAAATAAATAAATAAATAAATAAATAAATAAATAAATAAATATTTTAAATTGGGAAGTCCTTCTATTTTTATTATTTTTATTAAAAGATGTGTCCATTTATTTTAGAGAGAAAGAGTGAGAGAGCACACAAGTGGGGGAAGAGGCACAGGGAGAGAAGCAGACTCCCTGCTGAGTGTGGAGTTCCCACATGGCTTGATCCCATGAACCGAAGATCATGACCTGAGCCAAAACCAAGAGTTGGATGCCCAACCGATGGAGCCACCCAGATGCCCCTTTTTATTAAAAAGATTTTAGTTTTAAATAATCTTTACCCTGAACTCACAAACCCTAAGAACAAGAGTTGTGTGCTCCACCAACTGAGGTTGCAGGGTGCCCCAGAAGTCCTTTTAAAATGATAAAAAGAGGGGCACCGGGGTGGCTTGGTCATTAAGTGTCTGCCTTCAGCTCAGGTCATGATCTCAGGGTCATGGGATTGAACCCCACATCGAGCCCCACATTGGGGTCCCTGCTCAGTGAGAGCCTGCTTCTCCTTCTCCCACTGTTCCTGCTTGTATTCCTTCTCTTGCTATGTCTCTGTCAAATAAATAAATAAAATCTTTTTAAAAAAATGATAAGAAGAAAGCATGTCTTTTGTTTCCAGTCCGAATAAAGCAAAAAATAATTTAAGAATGAAAAGATCCATTTTAAGTATTTAAAAAATTTATGTTAATAGGTAAAAGGGCATTTAACTCTTTTCTATTAAAAGATATTTCATATTCAGGACAAATAGTTTTAAATTTGATTTGTATATTTTGGTAAAATAATTATAGCTTGCAAATGAAAATATTTCAGAATGAGTTTATTGTTCTAGTTAATAATTATTATTTTATATCATGATTATTGTCCTAAATTGAGTGAAAGATTTTTCCAATTATAATTTGCCAGGTAATTGGAGATCTTTCACCTCTCAATGACTTCATCAGCATTTATTTCGAATAAATACGACAAATGAAAAAAGCAAAGTATGATACAGTTTAATGAATGATATCATAGTAATTAAAAAATAAAAACAAATCATTATTTAAAAATATGAATTGGGTATTTTCTAAAATAAAACCTAAATCTTTGAGTTTAACCAATAAACTTCAAAACATACATCCAACTATTGGTTTTGGCTCAGGTCATAATTTCAAGAGTTGTGAGGTCGAGCCCCACATTGGCCTCCACAATCAGCATGGTCTCTGCTTAAGACTCTCTTGCCCTCTTCCTCCGTCTGCCCCCACCCCACTCTTTCTCTCTCAAAATTAATAAATAAATATTTAACACCTACTCTACCATCTACACTACTACATATCTACTCTAATATACAATAAAAAAATGTACATTAAATTTAATATAAGCTTAGGCAAAATGATAGGAATGGTTACGATGCTGAAAAGATAATATGGTGTATTCCAAAGTCAAAATGAAAGAAACTTAAGATGATTTAACCTTTTTGATTCTCTATATTAGTTGCTGCCATTAATATAAATATTTGAATTCATTTTGGTTTAACCAGTATCTCATTATATTCATTCCCTAGTTTTCCCTTGTCATGTCACCTACTTATCACCTAATCACTCATTTCCAAACCTCCACCTACCTACTCATCCACTTCCCTTTCTACCCATCCCCAAGTCTATCTAATAATTACTTATTCTTTGAAGTTGACATACATGTGTAGGTGTATTTGCCTTTGTCTGTTTTATTTCATGGAGCACTGAGATGAATAATTACCCATCAAAGAGTCTGGACTAAAGTGAGTATTGAGAAGCAGTGCGTGCGTGCGTGTGTGTGATTTCATAATCAGATACCATGAGATGATGAGAAAACAACGGCCAAAAGACAGTGCTAACATGTAAACTAAAAAACTGACAGAAAAGAAAGAAATCTCCATGAGATGGTTTCTGGAATTATGAAAACCCCTATTTAGACTTTTAGGTTCAACATGGTCTCAGACTCTTTCAGATCTGCTCTTATGTTCTGGCTATGGCAGAGGACCGTACAGTATGCATATTCGTGTACCAGACATAACACCCTTAGTAGACTGTCATTTTAGTTCTGGGCCCTGAATTCCTGGGAAATGCCCACATCTATTCTTCCTTCTTTCTCACCCTCCCTTCCTTCCTCCTTTCCTTCCCCTCTCTCTCTCTTTCTCTCTCCCTTTTTCTTTCTTTCTCTCTCTCTCTTTCTTTCTTTTATAATCTCTACACCCAACGTGGGGCTCAAACTCATAAACCCAAGATCAAGAGCTGCATGCTCTACTGACTAAGCCAGCCAGGCACCCCTAAATGTCCACATTATTTCTAAAGTCATTAGTTATTGAACAGATTTATCTCTCAATAGATAGACACACAGACAATACAGACAAACAGATACACAGATAGAGATATATGCCTAACACTGTGCTAGATATTGTGGGGAAATACAGAGATGTCTGTCACCTAGTTTTCAATTCTCCAGAAGTTACAAACTTAGCTGAGAAAAGACAGCTGTATGAAAAATAGGTCATACCCCCCAAAATAATTAAAAAGCAATTAACTGCCATGGATATGGGAATTAAGCAGGCCTTAAAAGATGGGTATGATTTTGATTAAGCAGAGAGGTAGGAAAGGCCATTACAGGAAGTCATAATCTACCCTCTGGTTTTCATAGTACTATACTTTTATAGATTCCTTCATATATCAATAAATACTTTCTTTGAATCACATCTGGCTATTCTTCCTGTGTTATTATTACTGCAAGTATTTATTTATTTGTTTATTTATTTAACTGTAGGTATTCAAACCAAGGTCTTATTCTTGGTCTGTTCTTTTTTTTTTTTTTTTTTAAGATTTTATTTATTTATTTGACAGACAGAGATCACAAGTAGGCAGAGAGCCAGGCAGAGAGAGGAAGGGAAGCAGGCTCCCTGATGAGCAGAGAGCCCGATGCGGGGCTCAATCCCAGGACCCTGAGACCATGACCTGAGCCGAAGGCAGAGGCTTAACCACTGAGCCACCCAGGCGCCCCTGGTCTGTTCTTTTTTTATTATGTTTCAAGTAATTCCATCTCATAATTTTAATTATCAATTACCTTATATTAGTGATTAAAAACTTTCTTATCTAAGCTCCAGTTCCATTCAGATTACAGAGGCTGAAATACTCTATTTCATCGCCTTCAGAAATTTTCTACTCAATATGGATTTATCTTTATTACCATTCACTCACCCTATGTATTTCCTCTGATATTTTCATGGGCCAATTTGATCTTTCCCTTATAAAGTTCTATAACATCAATCATCTCTAACACTCACTGTTTTAATTATACGTGACTTGGACTATTGTGTAATTGGCTCTTAGATAACTATGCCTTATCGTTCCTATAAGATTATGCTCCTAGGGGTGCCTCGGTGGCTCAG